GCCACCATCCTTCGCCTCCGCCCTCCCTCCCTTCTCCTCTACCTCCGTTTCCCCCTCCCCCTGCATCTCCTTCTCCTCCTCCTCTTCCAACACCATCGCCATACCTCGACGCTTGAGGGTAGGAGGGCATGCCGTGCGTTCTCCAACCCTCCCTCCCTCGTCCTTCCCCTCCTCCCCTCTCCCTCCCTCGCCCTCCCTCCTCTCCTTGCTCGTAGCCCCCCCCCGGAGACCACGAGGAAGGGTGAGGACGCGACGGAGGGACCAAAGGAGGGCTGGTTGAGGAAGAACGGTAGTGCTCCTCCTCCCCGACGGCATCGTAGTACGGCAGAGCCTCCCGCGTCGATGAAAATTGCGCGAATGACGTCCTGCCTCCCTCCCGGCCTTCCCCTCCACCCGCTTCCCCGACTCGCCACGGAGACCCCGTGTCGACTCCCGTGACAGGCTGCTGCTGCTGGTGTGGTTCTTGTTGGTGGTACTGCGAGTGTAGTACTTGTTGTTGCTGCTGCTGGTGTGGTTCTTGTTGGTGGTACTGCGGCTGTGGTTGTTGCTCCGGCAGTGCTGGTCCCTGTCCAAGCCAGGAGGACGCTTTGCCCGCCCCGCCGCCCGGATGCCCCCAGGGCTCAGGTCCAAAGCATTTATGTGCTGCGACCTCTCCTTGCGCCGTCGCCACCACCGTCCCGTCCTCCCTCCCTCCCTCCCCTCCCTCCCTCACTCCCTCCCACGCCTCGGGCGTCCCCGCGGTTAAGACGTCGAAAACTGTGATGGCCCGTGGACCCTCCTGTGTCGACGTTTCTCCTCGTTCTGCCGCCCCTTCATCGATGCTTGGAAGGGGGTCCTTCATGCCGTCTGGATGTCAACGAATGTTCAATTAAATCGGTGCTGACAGATACTCATATCTCCCCATTGCCCGATCCCCCCTCTTCCCAATGTCACTCAATATTTCAGACGAAAAAGAATGTTCACTCATCCCCAAAATTCGTTTTTGCGACATGTCCTTGCTGCCTTGCGATTTATCTAATGCTGTGAATTCTCCCATTCTGTGTTTACCTTTTGTAGTCGGCTCTGAAGTCAACAGTGATGAGGTCTCCACGGTCCCGCTCGTTCCCTTTATGCTCACGCGTCTTAGGCCAGCATCGCTTGGCAAGGGAGAATTTGAGGTGCTCCTATTAAAGCTGCTATCATTTTCGCTGTCATCGTCTCTGCTGCTGCTTCTGCTGGTACCGATCGGAGTGATGTGCGGTGTAGAGGGCGGGAGGCTAGCCTGGGATGCATTAGGAAAAAAGCTGCCCCACAAAAGGACAACTGTAATTGCGACGCAATTTTTATTGCAACAGCATGTTCCCCTTACGTTCCTTCTTCTTTTCCCTCTCTTCTGCGGCTTGCTTAACAACATGCTGCTGACCCTACTCGGGCCTGACATGGGGAAGGGATGGAAAAGAGCTAATGAGATGCACTGTGTTATATCATGCCAGCAGGGTATAAAAAAGCGTGAAATATGACAAAAATGTGTTTCCATGCATCTCATTTACTCGTCTATCGAGTTGTTCCAGCACACTGCCTTCCTGTGGCCCAGGGACGGAAAATGTGTACATGTGCCATATTTAATGCGACGGGCATCGCCAAGTCTTCCTCTTCAAGTGCTACAAGAACCCATGAGACGATTTGGAAGGAGGAAAGACGGGCCACGGTGGGGTTAGTACACTTTGATCTCACTCCAGACATATTTTCAGTTGTAGAACTTTGTACAGGTAGCTGGGTATTGAAGTGGAAAGGATTTAATCATGGCGATGCGTGAAGCCGGCAAGTTGACGATGAGGAGTCGGAGGCTGCAAGTAAGAGGGAAGGACAAGCATAGCTTACGTTGGCAGGACAGAACGAGAATTCTATTCTCGCCCTTCTCTCTCTCGTTACGACGGTACGTGCTGGGAACACCATGGAGGTGCATGGCGGCTTTTGAATGCTGGTATTCCAGTAGCCCTCGTGTACGGAACACGGATAGCTCTTCCCACTCCTCTTGGCACCCGTACGGCACAGTTATACTACTTTAAGCGCCGCGGACACCACCGCGACCGCAGACATCTTTGAAGGCTTGACCAAGAACAAAAAAGCCTACACCGCCATATACAAACGCGATGCCCGCCCCCCCGTGGTCATCCTTGGAAGTGGATGGGCCGGTTTCCAACTTGCCCGGGACCTGAACAAGGCCAAATTCGATGTGACAGTCATCAGCGACCGCAATCATTTCCTCTTCACTCCCCTTCTGCCCTCCACGACTGTGGGAACGCTTGAGTTTCGGACCATACAGGAGCCCGTACGGACCATCCCCGGGATTAAATTCTATCAAGGTACGGGCGATGACGTGATAGTGGTGGGAGAGGCAGTGACAGGGCACTGAGATATCCACTGGGAGAGATAGAGATTTTTCGCTGGCCAGAGACATACATTCCGATTCCTTCGATTGCCTGCCATGGAGAAGGACGTGTCGGGAGGTTATGGAGAGTTGAGAGTGGGCGGAAGGGGTATAGCCCGCCGGAGAGAGCGTGGCAATGCTGAAAGAAGAGCGACGATTGCTGAGTCATTTCGGTCAATGAATGAGCCCTCCCGGCGTTTGGGCACAGTCTTCCAGCAGAGGATTTGATCCCCTGTACGGCACATGAAAAGTCCAACAGAAGCGTCTCGGTAGCCTCTAACCCACTGCCTCGTCCTTCCCATGTTTATATTCCCACCAGCGCGTGCCACACGCCTGAATTTTGAGGAGAGACAAGTGGCCTGCGAGGAGTATTACCTAAAGGAGCGCTTCGAAGTCAACTATGAATATTTGATCCTGGCGGTGGGGAGCACCACGAACACCTTCAACGTCCCCGGGGTCTGCCCGGACAATCACGTATATTTCCTCAAGCAGCTCAGGTGGGGCACGAGGGTGATAGAGGGCATGTATTTCACGTGCAATCAAGGTCGATGACACCGCCGGGCTCGATCCGGTGCTCAAACTGCCTTCCTTTTCCCTATCTCCCCCCTCCATGCTCCTTGGGTATGCTCCCTCCAAGCGACGCGCGGGCCATTCGGTCCCGGATCATCGAATGTTTTGAGCGTGCCTCTTACCCA